GTATAAAGGGCACACACAAACTTTCATTTTTATATATTTAAGGGGTATCGATAGTATGGAAAACTTCTATGAAAATTAATTTTTGTATTTCCAATGATATGTTTTATTGAGAGGTTTGAGAGTAAAAACACCTATTATCAATATTGTAGAAGAGAAGTTAATCTGTCCCAGTATAAAAGTCAATTTTCGATATTATAATTACTAAACTCAATAATTCAAATTCAAAAAGTAAAATATCACACGTTTTAGAGCTAAATGTTGGACAATGCCAACAAAATATCGAAAATCGACTCATATACATGCCTATACGGCTATACATAAACTTCTTCTCTTCAATTTGTATAACAATAGTGTTCATTCTATATATTATAATGTCAATCAGTAAGTTATATTATTGTAAATACGAAACTAGGCTTCAGTGTTTCACTAAAATTGACATTTGTAATTAGTGTGTAAACTGTAAAGTGCTGCGTTATTGACATAATATTAGTGTACGCGTGGAGTGTGTGGGCGCTCTGCTATTCATTAATTTGTACACAGTCACTTACACGAATGATCACTTACTATACCCACACATTTACACGAAACCCATAGAAAATTGCTTATACCCAACTCCTTAAAAACGGTCTGTAGCTCAATATTATTCAACCCTTACAACCAATCACCATTGCTTGCACTACCAATTTCTGTTTTTTTTTTTTTTTGTGGTGTTTCATATTATCATTAGTCATAACCATTTAAGCATCAAGCAAGATGTATTTACTATTTACATATAGATGCACAATACACTAAGTTCGTAAATAAACTAGAATTGATGATCTTGATTTTATAAATTCAAACTCTGCATACATCGAGCACGATCATGAGCTTCCTTATTGTGGGGGGGGGGGGGGGTCTTTTTTTTGTCATATTAAATCATAGAGATATACATACAACAACTAGTCTTTATAGACAGTTGTGACATAATATTATTTTGTAAACATTGCCTGCTTTGTAAATGGCTGCCGAGTTTGATGATAAGAAGGAGACGGCTATTTAGTTGTTGCAGTATATATGTATGTATGTATAAAATATATGATAAAGCAATGAATGTATATTTACGGCTGTATAATGTAGTGTGAATAGTAAAAAATGCATATCCCCCCCACTTCAACTATTATAGTTGTACCTAATGATGTTGTAAATTTTCTAAAAAGCCTTTACAGTCATTTACCGGACGGAAAAGGGTAATTTTCCAACGCTTCAACTGGCATCAAAAACTAAACTATCCGAGCAGGCGTGACTAAAAATATATATTCCGATTAAGTTACGTAGTCGTGGCCATGTCACCTAGATATGTCACTCACACCCGAGTCATTTCATTCAACATTAAGTTATTAAATCTTTTATACTGTATCCTCATATTATTGTCAAATGCTCAATCGTGCAATTACCTACTATCAATGTTAATATAAGTAATAACATATAACTCATAAGTTCAAATAGCTATTAAAATAAAATGTCTAGATCATTTTTGCCCAATATTTTTTATTCATAAAATAAAATATTATTTAAACATAATGTTTAATGCCTAGTATAAACTCTATAATTCATGAAATTATTGTAATTTGGCACAATTATTAATTTATATTTATTCCCGACGGCCGACGGTACGGTCGTTTGGTACATTATATCCGACTCACTACTAGATGAAATTTCTAAAAAATTAAAATGTCAGAAGAAGCGGAGTTTATGTATGAAACCCAATGGCATAAATTAGGTAGGTACCGCCTAAAACGTTAAATACTAACAGGGTAATGAATATAATATAGACATTAATACATTATCATAGGCAGGGGTTGGTCATATCATTGTTACATATGTAACTATAAGTTATGTAACTCGGTTATTATTGTAACTTTTAACTTGTAACTTGTACTTTACATGCGGAAGTTACAAGCTACAATTAAAAGTTTCATTGTGCTTTTTGTGCTTTGATAATTCATAAGTGGGCTGCAAAACTAAAAAGAAAAAACATTTAATTCGTCCGATTTAGTTTTCATAATTAATCTGGCCAGTGGATATTCAGTGCGGTCATACGATTATGGTTAAACTTAAAAAAGCTCTTTTTTCCAAACATAGCGACCATAACTTTATTTTACCTAAGACCTAACCCGAGGCTGGTCGATCATATCTTAATACCTTATACATTTACCAATGTAACTTGTATCTATAGTTACACAGAATAAAAGTATCAAGTACCTAACTTGTAACTATGTAGTTGCATAGTTTTAGAGTCACTTGTAACCGCAGTTTCAATAAATTGAGTAACTTGCCCAACCCTTATCATAGGTACTAACGATTTTTGTTTACAAATGGTTACCATTAATTACTCGGGCTGCACATGAGGAAAAATCATGCATCAAATTGTCTCCTTATGCCTCCCCTGGCAAGTCATATTTTTCAGAAACTGTCGATGATTTTTTTTTGTAATTTTGTTTTTAACAGTATAAAATTGTTTAAAAATACACCTTGGAAGGCGGCCTCTAGAGTCTAGCCCCCCCCCTGGAGCCACATCTGCCCATGAAGGTAGCTAAAGGGCCGGTAGCTCACACATGAATTTTTTCAGCTGACGGTGGTCACTATCTCAATGGTGTACATTAATTTATAACTAAATAAACCATGGACTATACAAGGTAAAATATTTATTTACTTAAAAATTAAATAAAAAAATTTAAATGTTGAGTTTTTATGAATTCGAGACAAAGCAGGACCATTTAAAAGAAAGATACGGTTTTAATAATCTCAACAATCTCCTTAATGTGGGATTTCTGGTCGACTGGTCACACTATATGTTTCCAGAAAACATGAACCTATCGCCAGATAAATACGCTGTGCCAAAAGACATTTATATTGCATTTATTATATATGAGTGACAATTATTGACTAAGTATTATGCAAAACACCGGACATACATTTCTGACCGCATTCAAATCAACCAAACATGAAACAACAAATATAAAAAATTATATTAAATAAAACATTTGTTACAAAAAAAAAAAAAAAAATTTTTCCTTTAAATATTTCAATTATATATTATAATTTTATGTTGATTTTTGCTCACAACTCGAAATAATAAGCTTATATGAATAATGAATAGTTTTCCTTATACCTTTTGGCTTTTTGATTTTAACTTATCATTTATTTACACTATGTATATTATTATTGACATAATATTATAAAATTATTTTTGAACGCGGCGTTTTGTATAGGCAATCTGAGCACTTACGGGAGTATAATAATACTGAGGAGTATACTAATACTATATAATACTACTATAAATACTAATATATATATTAATTAAATATTAATACTCGGGAGTTTAACAGTACATGTTATTTAAATTTTTTTAAATTTAATTATGTAATATTCAGTTTTAATTTAACGGAATGTTTTATTTTAATAGTAAAATATTATACTGAAAAAAAATTTGTTTTACATTTTTTGTATTTTACATTGTTATAAGTAGGGTTGTATTTAATGGTGATTCGGGAAGGCAATAATTAATAGTCTACTCTGGCTAATGTTAGAAGTAAGTTGACAACATTTTTAAGGCGACCATAGAAAAGTAAAATTATGTTTTATTTATAATTAGTTTAAATTAATTTAATAAGAATTGTATTTATTTTTTTTATTATTATAATAATAAATGTTCATTTCAAATTAAAGTAAAACCCTAAAAATTAAAAATATGTTTATATTTTAGATTCCGAGCTCAGTGATGGATGTATTGATTTTACAATGATGTGTATTTTTTCTGTGTTTTTCAACACTGCTTTGATTTTCTTCAAAAGTATCTTGTTCGATGGGAAAGTGAATCTAGTTTGTACATCTGAGAGGTCAAAATTTAATATTCCCAATAGTTTTCAAAAGCACAGGAAAAACATAAAAATTAAGGAAAAACGTGCAATTTTACACAGGTTTTCGACAAAATCCATTTCGGTTTTTGGTGTAACTCTAAAACAAATGACCTTTTTTCATGAAATGTTCACTGGTTATTAATTATAGAATTTTCTATACACGATAAAATTAAAAAAATATTTTGATTTGTTTTGAATGGTTAACGGACATTTTCAGTTTCCAATTTTTTAGTTTTTTCTTTTTTTTATGAATGTAAAAAATATTTTATTTGTTGGGTTTAAAATTTTGAAAATTTAACACAAGGCTCATGGTATATTGTTACAATAGAAGTTGAATAATATTAAAAATACATAGGCACAATATTTTTTATAAACATTTACAGTTTGATTTTTGACATTTATCAAATATAAATTAAAAAATGATTTTATAGTTAAACATTTATAAAATGTTCAATTTTTATAGCTATTCTAAGGATTAAAAATGTTAAACAAGGTTCTACGCAAGTAGGTTATTCTGTAACCAAAAATCCCAAAAATATAGAAACAAAGTTTTTTTTTTATAGTTATTTTTTGTTCAGAATTACATATTATATAATCAAGAATAACAATTTTAGTTATTTTGATGTAGTTTGATAATATCAATTCAACTTACCGGCTACCGAATAAACAATAATTAATATGTAAAAACATAATATAAATATATCCACACTGATAAACCGTCTCTGCTCAGAATCGTTTTTCGTATACATTGATATTATATCATTGAACTCAACTTTAATACTATCCATTATACAGTGACCTACTGGCTAGGTAGCTGCGCGACATCCACTTCCCCGCTTTTTTTTCTTTATTTTAAACAACCGTAGGAAATAAATAAAAGTAATATTTTAATAACATTATTTATTGACATAACAGAAGAAACACAATAATTAAACATTCATAAACGATATCAGCATCGGTCACTGCAGCTTCTAACATCAGTCAATATTACTATAGCTGGTAAACACAACACTTATTGGTAAGTTTGAATTATTTTATATAAAATGTATGTCATATATTTTTGTGGAAGTTATGTTAGTTAATTAAAATTAGTATAAGATCTCAAAGAATTGCACACCTCTGCAAAACCAAACTGCAACATTGATTATCGGTTTTAGTTGTATGTTGTGGTGGTATCAAATCTAAATCTTCAGATTCTATAGATCCATGAAATTCTTGTAGACTGAAAGTATCACTCAATGTTTGTCTAGCCTTTGGTCCGGGAAAAAAACGTATTTCCATTTCACTATAAAAAGACCAAAATGTATAATCTTTAATTTTTAGATGAATCAAGTCAACAATTTTATTGATTGAATGATTTTGATGATATGAATTCTAATAGCGTTTTCATTACGTATACATTACCTGTCAGATGAATCCCAGTCTACCAACACTGGCAATTTATCTATCTTGGACGATTTACTGGTCGGAACAGCCATTTGGTTGTATTCCATCATGCCTGGTTTAGCATATTGTTCTATAGTGAAACGCAAAATAATTATACCTCAATAAAATTATAACAGAGAAAAAAACAAATTCTACAGGAATAATAAAAATAAAAAAAACTCAAATTGATAAAAAAAAAAATCTTACCACTGTAATTCTTTCATCGTGCATTCGTGCATGATAAAATAATTTGAAAATTCAATAAACATAAAGCTATATCTAAACAAAATATAAAAAATAAAAATAAAATAGGATGTTTTTCTACACTAAAACCATACAATGATAAATAAAATAATATGTTGATTGCTTATAGATTAATTGACTTGCCCAATTTTTTCTGAAAAAAAGAAGGTTTTGTAACTCTCATCGAGCAATCACTTGTGTTGCTATCCTCGTCACTGTTCTGCAATAGAAATAAAAATAATTATTTCATGGTTTAACTGTATTTCTCCACACATCGTATCAATTAATATATTACATTTTTAATATAATTATTAGGTTATAAAAATTAGGATTTATATAATAAACTATGTCTGACACTCATAATATGCCAGTCAATTAAACTGAATAAACTAAGTTTTATATGCAATTAACTGTTTTAGGCGTAGCAAATATTTTATAAGCAATAATAAGATATCAATACACAGAGTAATTTTTTAAGCATGTCACCCTATTTTTATAGTTAAATTATACATATTATATTCAAATTTTGATTTGTGAAAATTTTAAATACACCTGAAGAGTGAAGACCATATTTTCGAATACTTGATATTTTTGTTCGATTTAAAAGTAAATATTTATATACACCTTTGAAATGTTTTATTAAAGATCATTGAGCCTACTAAGGTTTATATGGAGAAAAAAATTTAAGAGTGATCCTGTGAAGATATAAACTTTTGCTTTTTTAAATAGGAATCTCCTTTTAGATTCTGAGAGCTCCGCTCGGATGAATGTATTGATTTTACAATGTGTTTTTATTTTTATTATTTTATTTTATCGCGAACAATGACGTTTGAAAAATTGTTTTTTTATAAGCATTTTAAGTTCAAATCTTGACAAAACACGTAATAAATCACAAAAGTATGCAAATTATTTTGTGTTAGAAATTCATAAAAACTTTTCTTTTTAAATCTAAGATTTGAAAATGTAATACAAGATTCCTAATAAGTTTGTCTACTTTTATCAAAAAAAAAAAAATATCTTCAAGAAAGTTAAATTTTATGAATGTTTGATGTTCAAATCTTTACAACAATGGATATTCAATCAATTTTTCATGTAGCGATTTTGTTATTTTGTTGTAATTCAAAAACGAATAACTATAGATAACTGTAGATTGAATTAAAATTTAATAACATCCATATTCCATGTTGCAAAGCGACATCCACTTTCCCAACTTTTTTACTTTTAACTCAGCAGTTATTTTTCGTTCAGAATTTTGATGTATTTAAATCAAAATTTGAGCATGTAGATTTGGAGCTACATACATTTGTGTACTCAGGATAATATGTCTATGGTAAGTAGATATGGGGCTTAGATAATTTGAAAATGTTAGCGATTACTATTGATCTATCAATATACATATTTAATAACTTGAACAAATAATCCAAGTATAATAAATACTCATCTAATATTACATATTATCATCGTTTATATTTTTGTGAAATAATTTTTAAGGTTTATTATCATTACATAAGCATTTTAATACATCAGAAACTAGTGTTTCTCATTAGAATTTTGATTTTGATACAACAAAATGTTCGAGGAAATCATCCACTTAATATTTTGTAGTAAAAAAGGGAGTTCTCATTTAAAAATTTTAAGTTTGTATCGTCACTTGACACTCCTTATTTTGAATATACCTATTGTCTTAAGTATACTTACAAATTCTAAAAATCAGAATTTTAATAAATCTTCTATTAAAAGGAAAAATGGGGGTGAGCATACTTAAAAAATCACTCTGTATAACATGTATGTATAATTACTCTGTCATTTTCTTCGATTGTGGTTTTATGGCGCTTTGTAGTATCACTGTCTATTCCACTATCGTCCATCTGAAATTCATAGGTAATTCTGTATAAAGCAATTTGTACAGAGAACAAAACTAAACGGTATGACCGTTTAGCTTGAATGTTAAAATGGTGCAATAATAACTGGGTACGCTATTGCTTTTAATACATATACAACTAAAAAAAAACCTCTAACTTGTAGATTAATAATTATAACCACAATTAAAGAAACATTAACTCTGTTGTACGTATTTCTTTAGTCATGATTACACATCACTCACTATATTATTCTCTTGTAATATATTATACAATTTAAACGTTAAAAATCACTACATTACAGAAAAACTAGTTTGAATTCAATAGGCACATCATGACAAAATTAATTTGTCATGAGGTACATAATTTAACACTTACCATGATCGACGACATTACGAGAATTTAAATTTCTGAGATTGTTATACACGCATTAATAGGTAAGACTTTAATGTGGAAATTCACGAATTCTATTAGATTAATCAAATAAAAACTACCCAGCAGTTAGTATTAAGTAATCACTAATTTACGTATTAAATACTGATAAAATACACTATTTAATACTATTAAATCACAAAAATATTCATAACAATTAATGTCAAATCCATACTCATCAAATCAATCTGAAACCACAGATAGATAGATAGTATAGATAATAGATATCTGTGTCTGCAACCATGGCTTAAGATAAACAGGTTACGAAACCACCTATTAAAACTATACAACAGAAATGATGCTCAAAGATTCTCGAATATAAACAGCTGATGGTTTGTGTGAGAATAGTAGCTAGCGTTCTTGCGGCCAAAAACAATTTTATTTATTATCAATGTTATCTTTAAACATTTACCCGCGAATTTTTATTGATGGATATTTGGCATGACATATTATATATATTATATGTCATATTTGGGATTTGGAATAAAGATTACAATACAATACAATCCTCAATAGTTTTCTTTTGTAATATTGCACCAATTTCCATTTTTCATCGTTTTACTTTTTGCCTTTTTAGTAGTTTATTTTGTACTATATTTTCCTTTATTCCAATATGGTTTCCAACAAGTGTTGTGTTCCTGGGTGTAGTAAAAATGCTGCATCTAAATTTGGTGTTCCTAAAAATATGATGAATGTCTGGGAAAATATTATTGGGTGTCCTTTAAACAGGAATTCAAGAGTTTGTGCAAACCATTTTAAACCTAGTGATATTACATCAACATGGGAGTCTGGTAATGGTAGTAGCCAAATCTCGGTATGTTCTATTGAAATATAATTTTTGATTTGTATTAACTGCTAAAATGAATCAGGATAAACTAGAAGTATGAAATATTTAATTTTAAAGATTGACCATCTTACACTTACTAACATATATTATTTAAAGAAATTTTTTGGTATAATACGTCAAGTTTCTGGTCCTAACGACCACCCGTCTACACCAACATTCTTACAATTATACAGAATGTTGACTGTATCTTCTCTAATAAAACCACCTAAAAGTGGTAACTGTACAGTTGATGAAGGTAAATAATTTAAATGGGTATATATGATCTATAATAAGTACTTTATATATTTACTTACATACTTTCAGTCCAAAAACCGGTACTTGATATTTGCGACTTTAAAAATCTTATTTCAAATGAATCATTGCGTGAAGAAAAAATTAAAAACATGAAGAGTAAATTAGACTTGATAATTGAAGATAAGAACTGGGACTGTGAAGACATATTTTTAGAGCACGATTATACAAAAAGTTCAGTTTTTGAATGCGTGGTTTACTATTTAGGAGGGTAAAGATGATAAATCAATATTATTTCTTACATAAATGTCTAATAAGTTTTTAATCAAATCTGCAGGTATTTAGCTAGACGACTGTGCAAAAAGTCCAAGTGTGAAGTATGTATAAAAAATTTAAAGAATGATGGTAACTTAGGTATGGAATCAGAGTTGGTAAATTTAAAAAGTAAAGGATTTTTAACTCATCCTAGTGGTAACTTATATAAAATATTAAAAGTATTGGAAACTTGCTTTTGTAAACATGCAAGTGCTGGTGATGTCTTTGAAAATACTTATAATGAATTTTTTCTTCATGTGACAAGCTTGACATTTTCATGTTCTATTCATAAATATGAAATGATTACAGATATCTTCACCATATATATAACAATGCGTATGAGGCAATTTACATACATTGAAAATCAAAAATTAAATAAAATTAATAGAGCCAAAAAGAAACTTTCAAAACTTGTATCCAGTTAGGTTATTAAATGTTTTATATTATCATTTATCCGTGTTATATTTATGTATTATAATTGTTTATTTATGTAAAAAATCAAAAAAATCTCATAAAAATCTTAAAATATTGTGTTGTTTACCGTGTAAGTTAAAACTAAAATACATGACAAAATTCAAAAAGTATCGTGGAAAAATATAAATAAAGCTAAATAGTACCGCATGGAGCGCTAGGTATCATTCTCGCTAGTATCCGAAGATTGACAGACTAGAGCCTCAATAATCACAGCTGCGTTTCGTAACCTGTTTATCTTAAGCCATGTCTGCAACACAACCGTGTTTGAACTTTTAAGTGATAACACATAATTTCCTGTCCGCGGTGATAACGTACCATTTTTATTGATAACACGGTAGATACCACGGACTAAGATATACAGGACTGGACACGAGATGAATATTGTGGTTACGAAATGTTTTACAACAGGCGGAGTTCGGGGGGATATTTTCCTTTTAGCATTACTAGCGCCGTCTTAGTGGATACTTATGGAACTAGATCACATTATTGTCATCTAGTTCCAAAAGTATCCACTAAGACGGCGCTAGTAATGCTAAAAGGAAAATATCCCCCCGAACACTGCCTGTTGTAAAACATTTCGTAGTCAACCCCCCCACACCCTCCAACCTTGTCGTGTCCAGTCCTGTATATCTTAGTCCGTGGTAGATACTCAGGAATGTGGTAGTAGTCGTGGTAGGTATGCAAAGACAATAAAAGATCTTTTATTATCTATAAACCTTGTGCGATACTGCGATCCCCGCTTCTTTTAATTTTTATAACTATTGCTGATAATAGATGACAATATTTCCTAAAAGTCTAAAACACAAATTTAAATTTTTAACTATTAGGTATACAATAGCTATATGAGTTTCAAAAAACAAAATGTATCTTATTGTAATGATCAATTTAAATTTCCAATTCGAAATACTCAGAACTTGGTTGAAATAGAGAATAATTTTAAATATTTTAGTTTTAAATGTGTATATTATTTATTATGATCACAAATTCACAACTGAGAACACTCGTTTTTAATTAAACATAATATATCAGTATACCTATAATTTATCAAGATACATCAAGATGAAATTATTTTATATTATTTTCGTTATTATGAAGATTACATATTCTAATGCTGATTGTGGATGTAATGCAAATCGCATTAAAACAAGTACTAAAGAAGATGTTTGCACATCATCAGAAACAAGTCATTCAGAAACATTAGAATCGGAATTTGAATCTATGATTTTAATCAAAGGACAGAATTTTACAATTGGTACTGACAAACCAGAAATTGTATCTGATGGAGAATCTCCATCCCGTACTGTGTACTTAGATGATTATTTTATTGATAAATATGAAGTAAGCAATTTAGAGTTTAAAAAATTTGTTGAAATAATGGGATATCAAACGGAAGCAGAGATATTCGGAGATTCGTTTGTATTTCAATTATTTCTCAGTAAAACTACATTAAAATCCATAACACAAGCTGTCAAGGATGCTCCCTGGTGGGTTCCAGTCAAAGGGGCTAATTGGAAAAATCCCGAGGGGAAAGATTCTGATATAAGTGGTAATATCAAAATATATATATATACAATTGTTATGCATACTTGTGAATAACCCAATGATTATAACATTTCTGTTTTAGATAGAGAATTACATCCTGTTGTACATGTTAGCTGGAATGATGCCACAGCATTTTGTAATTGGGCTGGAAAAAGGTTACCATCTGAAGCTGAATGGGAAGCTGCTTGTAGAGGTGGTCTCAAAGATAGACTCTATCCTTGGGGAAATAAGCTTCTTCCAAGTAATAAGCATAGGTGATTTTGTTATTTAATTTTTATGATTTCTTTAAAGTTAAAATTAATTTATATGGTAAATTTTAAATTAAAACCCATTACTCACAGTGACAGTATGTTATAATGTTATATTTATATTATTAAATATATATTAATATAAATCACAGTGAATAATGATTCAAAAGTTTTAATACAAAAAAATGTAGAGAACTTCATAAAATGAGAATTAGGTAGTTGCCACTTGCTGATAGTTGGTTAGTATTTCTACAAAGTACAATTTGTCAAATTTTTACAAAGTTACAAGTATAAATCAAATATATGTAATGCCGTATTGGGCTTACGCACAACGGAATACATTGCCCCATTAAATATATTTTGAATTGGGTATTGTAACTTATTATTTATTATTATATGTATATTATAATCACAATATTTTATTTGATAATTATACGCCATGAAGAGCATTGGTTAAGATAATACACTAGCGGTCACAAATACAATAGTTTTTATAGTGAGAATATAATATAATAAGCTGAAGTATTAAAGTAGATAGACTAAGATTGGTTAAGCCGGTACAACATTCTATGAAGATTGAAGAGGCTGGTGGGAAAAGGAAAAAGAGAATGGTGTCTTGTAGTGAAGGAAGGAATGCTAAGAGATAATATAAAGGTTAATAGATCGGGTGCATCGATAGTTCGGTTAAGAAGAGAGTTGATGAACTCGAGGTCCATAGATGGAATATAAAGGGCAGAGGGGAATATTGAAAAATAATTAAAACAAATTACTATTTAATTTAATTACCAACTTAAAAAAGATACTGTAAAACAATTGTTCATCTTTCTGTTTGAATCTCAATATTTGAAATACACGTAACTGTATAAGAAAAACTTAATATTATCGACTTGTAATTATCTACAAAATTAATATGGGTCATCGGCTATTGAAAATAATTTTTAGTACTCATAAATTAAATGAATCTCTTAAACATATAAGTTATACAATTACATTAATACAACCATGCGTAAAATGCAAGTTGTTGGTATTATTTGTGTGGTGTAGTCGTTTATAATATAGTGTTCTCTAAAAATGTGAAGTGTTTAAATTAAATAAAAAATTGCATTAAAAAAAAATATATAATAATTATATATTTAACTAAAACTAAATACTAAATAAATTGAAAAAACCAAGGTAGTTAACATCACCTGAGCTGAACTGGGAAATGTATAGTTTACCCGTAGCATATACTATAATATAATTTTGTTACAAAAACCTTAGAATAAAATAAATACTTAAACGTCGACAATTCTAAAATAATACAGCTTGATTTAATTGAATATTATTATTTTTTCTTAGAACAAATATTTGGCAAGGAGAATTTCCTTTCAAAAACACTGCTGAAGATGGTTGGGCAACTACGGCTCCAGTAAATACGTTTCCAAAAAATGGTTATGGTCTTCATAACATGGTAGGAAATGTATGGGAATGGACTAGTGATTTTTGGAGTGTAGATCATGACCAAAGTTTTACTGTAAATCCAGTGAGTTTAATTGTTTAGCATTATAAGTAATAGTTATCTAAAATTTAAAATATAACTAAATTAGTGTCTTATTTATTTTAGGGTGGTCCTTCAGAAGGAAAAGAAAGAGTTAAAAAAGGTGGCTCATACTTGTGTCACAAAGAGTATTGTTATCGTTATCGGTGTGCTGCAAGAAGTCAAAATACACCAGATAGTTCTGCATCAAATCTTGGATTTAGATGTGCAAAGGATAAATAATATTTTGGAAACTGATATTACTGACAAACATTTGTATTTATTTTTTTAAGTATGAAAACTAATGTTTAATAATTGTATATACATTGCAGTACTATCAAATATTATTTTTATAGAAAATATTCCTATCAATTAATATATATATTTTTTATAAAGAATTAAATTTATTTATACATCACTTAATATTTAGTTTGTTTTAGAGGCTATTTCACTATTTCTAGTGGTATAATCTTTTAATGCTGCTTCCAGATTTACTTGATCAAAACATTCAGTATTTATGAAATCCTTAAACAAAAATAAAGTTTAAATTTAATAAATAAAACTAGATGAAAATATAAAATTCTGTGATATTATTAACAAACAAATTACCTCTATTAATTTAAATTGGTCTTTTGAATCGTCCATTTCAGATTCCAAACCTTGATTTAACTTTGTATATAATTGTATAAATAATATTATATCATCAAACCTAAAATATCATCATATTTTAAGCCAATTGTTTAAAACTATAATACAAAATCAATTTTAAATAGTAAATACCTTTCAGTTTGTAGACAATACAATAAAAAGTTATCTGGCTTTTTGTTAAAAGCCAAGTAAAACAGTAATGGTCCTAAATGTCTTGTGGACTCCAAAACATGATAATTTTTAGATTCATCAACATGCTTATATGTACTAAATACAACACGGTGATAGTTTTTATCATCAGGTTCAAATTGACAACATGCTCGATCCAATATGAATTCATAATCACCATTTTCAAGAAGAGGCTGCATTTAAAAATAAAATTTTAAGATAGGTAATAAAAAAATATTTCCAACTAATACCTTCAAATTTGTATCATCAAACATGACTGGGTGCTTTAATTCTCTTCCTGATTGAGGGAAATATATTTGATTTACAGCATGACGTTCATCCTCGTTAGCTTTTCTCAGTGTTCCATCAGGTTCTCGTACCACAACTATGCGCCTCTATAAATGATGTGATTTAATTAGTTTTTAATTAAACAAGAATTTAAAATAATTACTTTATCAGATACACCAAAAGTAATATCTGTAAATACAAATTTTGAGCTGTCAAAACCAATAATATCCTTGTTAACTTCCAATACTTGTCCCAAATCAGTACGTAATGGTACTATTGGTGGCATCTGAACTTTTTCTTTGGCTTTTAATTTAACTTCAGCTTGCATCTGTTTAAAAAAAATTTAATATTTAAGAAATCTTTAAATATATTCTTATAATTACAATTATTTAATTAATAATATGTTGACTGTCATGTGGCCGCCAGCAGTTACACAATATGTATTATCGGTACGCCAAGCCTATTTTTCCACGTCATTCCAAATTTGTATATACTGTAAATACTATTGTATTTGAAAAAACATTAAAATAAAAATCAAATATACAGGGTCCGTCAGAACAAACGCATGTTTTTCGAAATAATACCTCGCTGTCATGTGGCGTGGGAAAAAAAAATAATACTAAGGGTGACGACACAAAATTTGAGAATTGGATTACTGCCAGCGTCACATACCAGTCAATATGTTAAAAATGAACAAACTTTTTCAACTTCTGCAGTGGTCATAAATTTATAAATTGGAGTGTCAGGATTTTCTCCAATAAAACGCTTTCTAAATGCTTTCTGTATATCAACATGAGTAAGTTTAAACAATAAGTTTTGTACAGGTTCAGCAAAAAACTTGTTACTCAATTCTTTAGTAATTTCTCCTGGAATAATAATAATATTATCATAATTATTTTCTACAATAGAATATAAAATATACTGTATTGTACTATGCCACTAGTATCATCTACGATCTACATAAATAATGCCTCTTATGTTTGACTTAATATCTAAGTATAAAATAAAATATAACATATTGTTATATTTTTTATGTTAAAGCTAAATGAAGGTAATCTAAATTCTAATAAACAACAAAATCCAATTGTGAATAGTAAAATAAATTAAGATATAATACTAATCTTTGACTTACGGTCATGTGATTGGCTGGAAAAACTATAAACAGTGATGTTATTTAAACTTTTACATTTATGTTTGTAACCATTTTGAAGTCGGTAAAAAGATGTATATAAATTTCTCAAAGTCATATTTATTTCTTGTATGGTAGTTTATTTGATATTTCTACAAAAAAACTGTGGTTAAAACATCTCAATTTCAAAACTATTAACTATTAAGTCTTAATTCTTATAACTGATAAGTGTCAATTGATAATTCTTGTAGACCATGCGAGTGATAAGCACTTGTCCAAAATAATTACAAACGTGGTTGTTACCATCATTTAGGTACAGGGTAGTTGTTCGAAAAATGATAAGAATGTCGAGTACGATAATTCTGAAATGTTGGCATTACCAACATAATATTTTTTTTTTTAAATAGGAAATAATTTGACATTTTAAATATGTGCTGCACTGAATAATTCGTTAGCTATTATTTTATTTAGAAGACCGTGTTACATAATAACAATTATTGAACAAGCTATTTTTAACTAATATTGTTCTTAACTCTTTAAATAGTCCTATTAGCTACTGCATAATTTGTTGACAAAAGACCTAAGTTAGGTTAGGTTATTAAGATTATAGCCTATACAATTAGTAGGTATACTTATCTGTAGAAAATAAAATAGGTCTATTCTCTATTATAGTCTAATGACTGCAGCTGTCTGCACTCTGCTTATTTTTAAATTATTTGGTATGGAGATCTGGAGTTCTGGACACTGAAATACTGGACGTCTAGAGTTTAGACTACACCCAACATCCGTACGCTACTAGTACACTACTATGTTCAATGCTGATTCACTTTGGAAAAAGGTAATTATAAAATATATTTTTTTGAAATTCATAAATACAATTTATTTATAGTTTTAATAATAAATACTATAATTCTTATGAATACTAATATAACAAACAAATAATAATACTAAATACATTGAGAAGTGTTTTTGCTCTACAGTAAGTTTTAATTACTATACCTTGAGTACATCACTGTTAATATTAAAGTTTACTGTTAAGTAATATTGAATTTGAGCTCAATTGTGGTTATTTGTGAAATTAAAAGATGGTTTTAAAATTAATTTTAGATTCTTTGTGAAACGATGAATGTATTGATTTTACAATGATGTGTGTTATTTTTGAGAAACTTTAAAACTTTAAAACAAATGACCGTAGATACATGCAATTTTCACTGGTTGTTTATATTTGCATTTTCTATACACGATAACATTTTCAAAATATTTTGATTTATTTTGAACTGTTTAGGGACATTTTCAGTTTCCACTTTTATTAGTTTTTTTTTATGAATATCAATAAAAATTTATTTGTTGAGTAAAAATACTTGAAAATTTAATACAAGGCTCCTACTATATTGTAACAATGGCATTTGAAAAATATTAAAAATCCTTAGTCACAGTTTTTATTTATAAGCATTTAAAGTTCAAAAATTGACAAAATATGGAAAAATCACAAAAATAAGCAAATTATTTTGAGTTAAGAATTCGTAAACATTTTTCTTTTTAAATCTAAGGTTTTAAAATGTAATACAAGATTGTAAAGACTGTAAATTATATAAAAGTACTAAATACAGTCATCTATAATTAAATCACAATAAAGTAAAAAAAATTATTAATTAATTATTACCTTGTGTCAGTTTCGTATCAAATAAATGAGGTAGTTAAATCTTAAATAGTATTAAAAATTATAATTAAACACAATAATATATACACATATGAAAAAACAATTAAATAATTATATATTTTGCAGAAGAAGGTCTGGCTCTCCTAAAGTACATGAAATATAAATATTCAAAAATTGATGAATCTCTGCGATTAAAATAAATGGTGAATTACCTGGATAAGGACCAATTTGCTGGGTTATATATCCATCTATCCTATGGCCTGCTCTACGTAGAAACTTTATTATACGGTCTTCAGAATAGTCTTCAATCAAATCATCAATGAACTCTAATTGTCCTGGTATTTAGGTCTCTCGTATGCATAGATCGTTCCAACCGAATCTATGTATAAATTAAATTTATCAAAAAAAAAAAAAATGAGACTAAAGAATATTTTATTTTCTTATAATAGATATCAACTATGAAACTTGCCTTCAGATTATTTGAGGCTTGTTTAAATTCCACTTCGCAAGTATTTTCTAAATACCTCAACTGGTCTGTAGATTAAAAACAATATGTGACCGACTTTTGATTAGTAACCGGTATTAACTAGTTAAATGAAAACTTACCAATAAATTCCCATATTTTTGGATTTACATTTTAATTGCTTGCATGTATAATGCTTTAGCTGAATAAGGTGTAGGATAATGAGCGACACACTGTTCTGCAAGAATGTTCCGTAATTCCCTCATGGATGTCTCATCTCTCCTTACTCTATGATTATGTCGCTTCTTGATGAAAAATGCATTGTCATTCAAATTTACCGATATCGATCCTGTTGCTGGACATCCACTCTTATATTCCTTGCATCTCACATAACTGTGAACAATACAATTAAATAAAACTTAAATTTCTTCACACAATTGTATTACCTAAGTATTCCAACTTAATTTACATTTTTCTTTCAGTTGTTTTACTTTTAAAGTACATATGTCCTAAATTGTCCTTGATTATATGTTCTGTGCGGTGAACACTGGGAATTGTAACATAGGAATGAGGACGTTCATCGTCATCTTCCAGAACATCAACATCCATAGGTTCCAATTGATTTATATATTCTTGAACTATATTTAAACCATTGAAAAAAAAAATATAAAATGGTAAAATTTGATGGGCATTGTGAGAGAAAAAAAGCTTTCTACTAGAAATTGTCTTCAGACAAAAAAAATGCTTTGTTCGTACCTGGTAATATATAGTCGTGGTCCATTAAATGAAAATTTGCCATAGTAAAAAATGAAATAAAAATTTAAAACTGAAAACCTTTAAAAATGTGTAGGAGTGAAGTTTAAATAAAATGCGTATAGATTGAGTTAAACAAACCTGTGACCCAGTTTTCTATAATATGTTATAATTTCAAGATCTATAAATAAATAATATTGGATTTTCACATAATAGTGATAGGTAATCATCTTTTCTACTATCTTATTAATTGTATTAAATATGAAACAGCATTTTAGATTTTAAGCACACAGATGAATATTAATTTATAATAATGTAATTTTATTTTTTTTGTGTAAAAAAATTATTTTTTAACTGCATATTTTTATGTTTATTTTTTTTGTATATCTAGTATTTAATTAAAATAATAAATGCATCAAATACAGTGAATATTAAAACATGTTATTATATATATATATAAAAATAAAATATCTTTTATCATTAAAAAAATGTTAAATAAGATTAACCCTACCATAACAATATTTAAAATTAATAATTTGTCAGTCTTGTTAAGTACCTAAGTAAAATTGATTTTAAATGGATATACATATAGACAGTCTTATTTAATGTACCATAAGTTAACCCTTGTAATTTTATAGTTTCTACTTTCTACACTAGAACACAAGTGGAAAATGCTCCTGAGTTCAGTTAGGGAAGTTCAATTAAGGGAAAATTAATATGGTATGTCGTATATGTATATATCTTATAATAAAAAAAACAATATAATTTAGTTAATCATATTAATTTGTTTTTATTCTATTAATGATTACATTACGTTTAAATTAATTGAAAATTGTAACGCATTAAAAGAAGGTAAACCTCTAAGTTTATGTTTAATACATTCTTATAAATATACAATTTTTATTTAATTTAATTTATACATTTTTCCAACATTGCCTTAAATTAATATTAATTAATATATTATACATTTCAATTATTGTATTAAATATTATAACTAGTTGTATCCATTGTATTTTTGTTAATTGTTTCTTTGTAATGTCTTCCTTGAGAACATAGCTTATGTTTATTGTCTTCAATGATGGGCTTGTAGTAAGTTTTTGTTTGAAGTGCACCAAGGCTGATGCTGAAAAAAAAATTAAGTAAGAATATTTCAAATTACTTTATGGAAAAGATTATAAACATTTAAAATTAACATTTTTACATTTAATGTGCATCAAACCCACTATAATAATTGACCACCTTATTTTAATTTTATTTCTTCAGTCCTGTTAAATAAGATTGTATTTAGTATTAGTATTTATTTATTTAACGCAATACTATTTACAAGCAAATTTTGGAGTATCGCATGAAGAACTAAGAAGGTACCCGACCAGTTTTCTAAATTCTAAATTTTAAATCTATTGCGGTACTTACACAACATTTCGAATAATAGAGATATTTTATTCGGTAACGTTGGTGTACATGTAGAAGGTTAGCGATAGAAACACGGACTAAGATATACAGGACTGTACACGAGATGAATATTGTGGTTACGAAATGTTTTACAACAGGCGGAGTTCGGGGGATATTTTCCTTTTAGCATTACTAGCGCCGTCCTAGTGGATACTTATGGAACTAGAAATTTGTATGATGTGTTCTAGTTCCATAAGTATCCACTAGGACGGCGCTAGTAATGCTAAAAGGAAAATATCCCCCCGAACATAGCCTGTTGTAAAACATTTCGTAGTCAACCCCCCCACACCCTCCAACCTTGTCGTGTCCAGTCCTGTATATCTTAGTCCGTGGATAGAAATGTCTTATCATTTTTCGAACAACTATCGGGATCCGTAGGTACCACGGTTTAAGATAGACGGTCTATCTTAAACCGTGGTAGGTACTTGTACCGAAATTTCATGGTGGAAAAAAAAAAGAATATAATTGACGATGACGAGTGACGACGGGCGAATAACTAACCTAACGCAACTGTTGAATTGTTGTGAACTTGTGAGTTGTGGTCTGTGAACGGCGTCCATTCACAGTTCATTTCAAATTTTCAAGTTTTTTATTATGAAATACGAAGTATGAATGCTTATTTGTTATTTTGTTATAATATAAAATAGTGTTAATTACTTCACATTTTGCTATTTTTAGTATCTACATTTACATATCATTAGACAATAGTGTAAGTTATAATTAACTCTTTTACTTATAGATTTTAGCGGCGTCGCGGAAGCATTGCGAAAGCAGTCCCCGCGGCGTCGTC